CAGGGAGCTCGCGGCCAGCCCGGCGTGATGGGTTTCCCGGGTCCCAAAGGCGCTAATGTGAGTATTGACCGTTTTTTACCCAAAAAGGGGCTGCGGTCCGGGCGTGGAGCCCGTCACCGTCACCTCTCTCCTCTCTCTAGGGCGAGCCTGGAAAAGCCGGTGAGAAAGGACTCCCCGGTGCCCCGGGATTGAGGGTGAGTTGTTTTCCCTCCCTCGTTGCCCCCCAAAAACACATCTTGGGGTTGCTCCAGCATCGCAGCCCCCACCCTGCGGAGGCATCTGCGATGTCCGGGTGGGGAAACTGAGGCACGGAGGGTGGAGCGGGGTCTGCAGCATCGCACCGGGAGCTCAGCACCGGCTGGTTTGTCTCCTCCGTAGGGTCTCCCTGGGAAGGATGGTGAGACGGGAGCTGCCGGCCCCCCGGGACCCGCCGTGAGTGTCTCAGCTTTGTTCACCCGGGGCTAAAACCCGCTGGAAATTGAGGGGGGGGTCAGGCATTGTAGCCCCACTCCCAGGATCTGGGCAAAGGACCACCCCAGGTCTGCCGGGGATGGAGCCCCCAGCGCTCCCCGGCCCTCGTGGTGTTGGGGCGGGGGGATGTCGGGATCCCCCCGTGATTCCGGCTCTGCCCAAAATCCTGGGGTGGGTGAAGCGCAAACCCCAGGAAGTTTCGGGGTTCTTCACCACCATCCTTCCCGCAGGGTCCCGCAGGTGAGAGAGGAGAGCAAGGAGCCCCCGGTCCCTCCGGCTTCCAGGTGAGCACAAAAAGGAGGGATTTGGGGTGCTGGGGTCAGGGTGATGCTTATGGGTGACCCTGAGCCCCCGTCCCTGGGGGTCTCGCTGCCACCGTGCTAATGCCACTGCTTTCCCCTCCCAGGGGCTGCCCGGGCCACCAGGTCCCCCTGGAGAGAGCGGCAAACCCGGAGATCAGGTGAGGCCCCGTTTTTCCCTCCTCTCAGGCTGCAAAGGGGGGGGGTCAGGTCCCCCAGTAGCCCCCAGGGCTGACCCCCAACTCTTTTTTCCCTCCACCGCAGGGTGTTCCTGGAGAAGCTGGTGCCCCCGGTCTCGTCGGTCCCAGAGTAAGTGTCACTCGTCCTCCCGTCGGCGGAGATAGGACACCTCTCCCCATCCTACGGGGGGGGTTTGTGAGAGCTCGAGGGGGTTGGCGGAGCCGGGCCACCCCCAGCCAGGGCCATGGCGTCCCCCAGTCCTGGTGGCTCAGCCTCCGCTGCGGCACGTCCCCTCTCCCAGTACATCCCAGTCACTTCGGGGCAGTGAGGGACGGGTGCTCTGCCCACCCTCCCTGGGGACATCCACGCAGAAGACGTTGTGACCCTCACCGTGACCCCCTAACGCTGTGTCCCCCCCACCCCAGGGTGAACGCGGCTTCCCCGGTGAACGTGGCTCTCCTGGCGCACAAGGGCTGCAAGGTCCCCGCGGGCTCCCCGGCACGCCGGGCACCGACGGACCCAAGGTGGGTGACAAGGGGGGGCCACATTTCGGTGGCTGGGTTCCACCGGTGGAGCCGTGAGGCTGGGGGTCAGCATGCAGGGGGGATTTGGCACCCCAATAATTGCACTTTTGCTCTGCTTTAGGGTGCAACTGGACCAGCCGGCCCCAACGGTGCCCAGGGTCCCCCGGGGCTGCAGGGAATGCCCGGTGAGAGAGGAGCAGCCGGCATTGCCGGTCCCAAGGGAGACCGGGTAAGTGATGGGTGCCAGAGGTGTCCTGAGCGGCATCAGGTCTTAGCTCGACTCACACCGCCTCCGTCTCACCCCGCAGGGAGATGTCGGAGAGAAAGGCCCCGAGGGAGCCCCCGGAAAGGACGGCGCACGCGTAAGTGGGATGAGGACGCTGTGGGAGCAGGGTGGTCGGTGAGGGATGCTCTTGGTGGCCTCGTCCTCATCTGTCTCTCCTTTGCAGGGTCTGACAGGTCCCATCGGTCCCCCCGGCCCCGCTGGCCCCAACGGCGAGAAGGTGAGAGCCCGGGCAGCCCCTCGGCTGCTCCCGATCAAGGGAGATGCCACCCACCCCCCCCAACTCTCCATCCTTTCTTTTCCAGGGTGAATCCGGCCCTCCTGGTCCATCCGGCGCTGCTGGTGCCCGCGGTGCCCCCGTAAGTGCCATCCCCCCACACCCCCCCAGGGGATG